AAAACTCCACCAAGAAGTTACTAGAATTAATTCACAAATTCAGTAGCATAGCAGCATACAAAGTCAATACCCAAAAGTCAATAGTATTGCTCTACATAGATGACAAACACACTGAGAGGGAAATTATATAAAACAACACCTTGTACATTAGCACCAAGGAAATTAAACACCTTGGAATTCATCTAACTAAAGAAGTCCAAGATCTTTTCAAAGAAAATTACAGTAATCTTAAAAAAGTGATCCTAGAGGATTTCAGAAAATGGAAAGATATTCCATACTCCTGGATAGGAAGCAACAACATTGTGAAGATGGCCATACTCCCAAAATTGCTGTACAGATTTAATGCAATCCCTATCAAACTACCACCAGCATACCTCACAGACCTAGAGAAATCATTTCTAAGACTCATTTGGAGCCAGAAAAAAAACTAGAATATCAAAGGCAATCCTGGGCAATAAGGATAAGGAAGGAGGCATTACAATTCCGAACTTGAAATTATACTACAAGGCTACTGTGATAAAATCAGCATGGTACTGGCCACAAAATAAACCTGAGGATCAATGGAATAGATTATAAGACACTGACTCCTCTAAGAACACACTCAGCCACCTTATCTTTGACAAAGGGGTCAAACATACTCACTGGAAGAAAGACAGCCTCTTTAACAAATGGTGCTGAAAAAACTGGCTCTCTACATGCCAAAAACTAAAACTAGACCCAGGTCTATCACCATGCACTAAGCTAAAGTCAAAATGGATGAAAGATCTAAACATTAGAACAGAAACACTAAATCTCCTGGAATAGCAAATAGGAGGAACTCTTGAAGATGTAGGGGTAGGCAAAGAGTTCATGAACAAAAATCAAATAGCACAGGAAACACTTGAAGGAATTAAAAACTGGAACCTCCTATTTTTGAGAAGTTTTTGCACCTCAAAATAAATTACAAAGTGAAAAGAAAACCCCCAAATTTGGAAAAAGTCATGACATATAAGTACTCAGACAAAGGTCTACTCTTTAGAATTTATAAAGAACTGAGAAACACTAGGGCCCCAAAATTTAAAAACCCAGTCCAGAAATGTGCATCCGAAATGAGCACACAACTCCCAGAGGATGAAATTAAAGAAGCGAATAAATATATGAAAAAATGCTCCACATCACTAGCCATCCGTGAAATTCAAATTAAAACAAAATTGAGATATTATCGCACCAAGGAACAAATGGCTATCATAAAGAAATCACCCAACAACAAATGTTGGAGAGGCTGAGGGGAAAACGGAACCCTTCCTCATTGGTGGTGGGAATGTAGACTGGTGCAACCATTATGGAAAACAGAATGGAGACTCCTTAGAAAACTTGGACTGGAAATCCCATTTAATCCAGCTATTCCTCTACTCAAAATTTTCCCGGATGTTCTTAAATATTATATCATAGTGATATATGTGTTCCTTTATTTATAACAGCACAATTTGTGGCAACCAAATCTTGGAAACAATCAAGATGCCCATCGCCTGAGGAGTGGATGAAAAAGTTGTGGTATTTTTATACAATGGAGTTTTACTCAGCTATAAAATGATAAACTCTCAGCCTTTATATTGAAGTGGATGTCACTTGCAGATACACTCATAAGTGAAATAAAACAGACACACATGTGTAAATATTGTATATTTTCCCTAGTATAAGAATTCAAAAGGAGAAATACAAATAGAAGGTATAATACAACTAAAAGGAAAGCTAGAACTTGAGGACGAAATGATTAAGAGAGGGAAAGGAGAAGAACTTGAAAACATGACAGTGACCAGACAGAGTTATATGTAGAAGATGGGTAAGGCAATGATCCTGAGACTTCAGAAGATTATTGAATCTGGCAGTTAATTAAATGATTTTCACACTGACTAACTATATATATTGACACCTGTGAACTGAGTAATTTCTCTGAAGATGGCAAATTGCAATAGTAGGTTCATGCGTGGAGTGCCTGTCATTCTGGTCTTCTGAATCCAGGCTGCTTGTCATAACATGCCAGTTACTACTGTGCTGTCTCTCTGGTAGATGTATGTTGAAAAGGAAATGGGTGATGAATGAAGGCATGAGAAAGGAAACGGATTATTGGAGGACTGTCCTGCTACAAAGTTGTATATTGGTTAGTTTTGTGGTCTTATGTGTAAACCTAAGAATTATATAATTCTTTATGCCTATTTTAAAAATATATTTTAATTTTTTAATGTTTTTTCTTCATATTCTGTAGGGACTTAAGTTTCAACATACCAATACTTGATGAAAAGTACCTGTTCCATAATATCCCTAAGATGTTTGATATTAAGACAGAGAGGTTAAGCTTAACAGCCTAGGTTGTATGGTAATAACAATAAGCTTTCTTGTGTAGGGTTAATAACCTAAGTGTGCAGACCATGATTAGAGAAAAAGGAGAGCCGCAAGCAAAGCCAACATTTTGGCCCTAGCCTTCCAAGTTCAATTAATTCTCAGGACATATTAGAAATTCTACTGTAAGATCATGTAACTCAGTAGTATCCCAAATTTTCTTGTCAAGGAGATTATGAGGCCAAAGAGCAAAGTGATCGATGATGTAGAGTTTGCCTAAGGAGAGTCACATGGAGAGAAAACATTCTCTCAGGCTTTCACAGAGACCACATTGGCCAAGCAATGGTCTTGACTCATCCACATGGCTGACACTGACAAAGGATCTACAATCTGAGGTATAGGATCTTAGAATAAATCCTGAGGGGATTTCACTGACCTTATCAGACCCAAAAGCTACAACTCTTGTTCAATAGGTCCTGCTTTATCTTGGTCTTAACCTTACAGCAGAAAATTATAAAAATGAAGTACAAGAAGTAACGCCATGCTGGTATGCTGAGCTGTAGGGGACTCAGGTCAACAATTTCTGACATTGTCAGTGAAGTGGAAGACCCAATACTATTATGGACTACTAAACTCTTTTAGAATATTTTTCTGAGTTTACACACCTATAATATTCAAATAACACAACTAAACAAAAAAGGGGTACACATATATCCATTTTTTTATCTGTGCATTCAAAATGGTTAGGATAGATATATAGTTACATTCTCTTAATAAACAGAGGGATTCGTTCTAATAGTGTTTGTAAATAGGATATCATGTCTGCATCTTGTACAGCAATTAACCACTAGGAAGAATGTATGCAATGTGTTAATTATTGAAACTGTTCTACCAATTTGGTTTGAAAGTGTCTCATTGCTATTTGTTTCTCAATAAATTATGGGGAAAAAAGAAATGAAAATCTATAATTACATATCATTTTACAAATTTTAGACAAATACTGAAAGATGAAAGATGTAAGATATAGACAGAATGCTTTTCAGAGAAATATTTCTCAAATGAATACTTCACATGAGATTAATAATAGATTGCACATTTTAAATAAATTATTTATGAGCTTAAATGAATATAACAATAAAAATTGTCCAAAATAAAAATGAAAAAAAATGGAACATAGAGTCATGTAGTTTGCAGGAAAATGAATAGAACTGGAGATCACAATGCCAAGTGAAATATGTCAGGCACTGAAAGTTAAATATCATGAAGCATAAAAACATAAAAATAAGAAATGATTTTAGACAAAAGGACTTACTGAAGTAAGGAATGTGATTAGTGCTGGGAAGAAGATAAAGGGATGGAAAATGATCAGGATATAAGTTTTCAGACCAAAAATTAAAGAAAAAGAATGACAAGGACAGCCAACATTTTGGCCCTGGCCTTTCAAGGTCAGTGAAGACTCACGATTTAGGAGAACCTGTATTGTAACATCATGTAACTCAGCTGTGTCTGAAATTTTCTGATCAAGGAGAGTATGGGGCAAAAGAGGAAAGTGGTTGATGATGTAGAGTGTGCCTAAGGAGAGTCACATGGAGAGAAAACATTCTCTCAGGCTTTCACAGAGAGCAAATTGACCAAGCAATGGTCATGACTCATCCACATGGCTGACACTGACAAAGGATTTACAAACTGCTGTACAGGGTTTAAGGATAAATCCTGAGGGGATTTGACTGACCTTATCAGATATAAAAGTTGCATACATTTCTTGTTATATAGGTCTTGCTTTATCTTGGACTTTACCATCCAGCAGAAAAGTGTGAAAATGAAGTATAAAAAGTAAAGTCATATTAATATGCTGAGTTGTAAAAGTCTCAAGTCAACAACTTCTGACATTGCCAGTCTTAAGGAAAACCCACTACTATTATGGACTACTCGACTATATTGGAATATTTTGCTGAATTCACATACCTACAATATTTAAATGACAATGGAATGCCCTTCCCTGACAAAACTAAACAAGAAAGGGGGATACAAATGAACAACCATTTTGTATCTGTATATTCAACATAGTTTGAATACATATACAGCTACATTCTC